GATGTTCCCACCAGTTTGTTGCTGTTTTAATATTATAATTTTTGCACAAATTCCAATGGATCATTTGTGCTACTGAATTGTGCCGCAATTTATACAATCATTAATTAATAATTAATTGTAAATGTATCTGCTGCAAAATATTTATAAATGGCAAGATGGTTCAAGCATCAATGTTTCAAGAAAAGCATCACATTTCAACTCAATACGAGAATAAATGTTTAGTTAAACTTGATTCATGATAGTATACATTGCCTTCCCAAATATCATAGACTCCAGCTATTTTGGGACTGCAAATGTCCAGCCAGCAGGTCCCATGCTATGCTGACTGGGAAATCTGGGTATTACATTTCTAAAACATCTTGAGGGGATATTTTGCATTGTTTTATTAATACTGTAATCATATACTATAAATTTATCCTAGGTAAATATATATAGGAATTCAGATTTAATTTAATCTGCTTGGCATAAATTATTCTGATTTGTGAATCTATTCCGCCTTTAATATATATGAAATTAATAACTTCTACATGTTAATTGAGTTATTCTTATTCTATTTGGTGGGATTTCTTTAGTAAATATACTTGAAAATAAATCATACTATTGTTGAAAATCCATTCCTAAATAATACTACTCCTGTTCAAGATTTATACTGTAGTGCAAAAACAAACTGGCTGTGAAAATGTCTATTCCCATTAATTAATACATTCTACCTCTTTTTTTAAAAGGAAATAAAGAATAGACTGAAAGACATTTATTTCGCAGGTGTAATGGAAAGCTCCAATTAAGCAGACTATTTCTTTGAAAATAAAATTGCCAAAAAGCAATTTAGAAGTTGCCAAAAAGCATTTTGACATTTGATCAATGGTTAAAGGGGGGGGGGGGGAGAACCCTTTCAACATTTCCTATTTTTAAATGCATTATTCTGCAGCAATATATTCTGGCAAGGTATTTATCTATAAGTACATTCATGCATGGTACTCACTAATGACCACTTAAGTGCCATCATCATTTATTCATCAAGGACAGAACAATATTTTGCATATCACATAAAAGTACTCCCAATTATCACCTCACATATTCAGCTGAACCTTATCATTATAATGGTTCTGGAACTAATATACTGTCATGAATCCACCCCCGGATTCCTCTCCAGATATCAATTCGGAGAAGGAGGGTGAGTTTGAGTCTACAGAGAAAGGCATGGAACTGAGTATTGGTCAGGATTGGGGCTCAGAGAATTCTAGCCTGATGAAGCAGCCTCAGCTGGGTCAATCGAACCAGCAACAATCTGAGGCTGAGGAAGGCAAGCCACAGCTGCAGCAAGTTGGCCAGTAGGCTCCTGGTAGGACTAAGAGCAGTTGTTGCTCATTAGCAATGAGAAGGCGGTGAAGTCCACACCTCTTCCTGATCCAAGGACATGTACCGTGTTTCCCCAAAAATAAGACCACCAAAATATCACCACCAAAAAAGGTCTTATTTTTTGGGGGGGATGTCATCCACTGACTCACCTCACTTGCACATGTGCCCCCCCCCCTCCTTTTTGCTGTCACTAGGCCTTCAGGAACTTCTTCGGCTGGCAAGGAAAACAAGGCTTTCCTGAAGGCCTCTTCAGTCGATAACAGAGGTCCGGATTGATCCGGAGCTCTGGTATCGGCTACAGAAGCCTTCAGGAAAGGCCTTTAGGAATGGCCTCTGCAGCCGATAACAGAGCTCCAGATCAATCCGAAGCTCTGTTATTGGCTACAGAGGCTTTCAGGAAAGCCTTGCCAACTGCAGAAAAATGTGCAAGGCCTGGCTGCAACTATCCAAATGTAAGTAGTAGGGTAGCTCCACCACCACCCCCATCCCCATCCTACCTTAATTTTTACCCATGCACCCTGGAGTGGGCAGGAGTCTTAATTAGGGATTATTCTGGGGATAGAGCTTATATTGGGTGCACATGTAAAAATCAAGGTAGGACTTACTTTTGGAGTAGGTTATATTTCGGGGACACACGGTAGAGCAGAGAGGGGACAGTCACAATGTGACTCTAATGAAGGGCTGCATTGGCATTGCCTCCTTAATCTCACCTTGAGGACTTGAGTATTGTTGCTGGAGCAATGTGCCCAGTTGTGTGCCTTGTGTGCTAGTGCTGTGCATCCTGACCTGTTTGACTTGTGGACTGCTTTCCTGGACTTTGTGTGTGCCCTTTGGATTTGGTTGCCCCGTGATTATTGCTGTACTGAGCTTGGAATTTGGACGTGCACAATGGGGGTGCTTTCTGATGACCTGTTGGGGGAGGGGGTTGAATAAACACCTGTAGAACTCTTGCCATACATGCAGGAGGTAGCGGGGTAGCATATATATTTCTTGCCAACAATTCAGTCATCATAAATAATATGCAGTTTTATTCATTTCTGCACTACATTCTGTCAGCCTGATAAGTTAGAACAAAGCAGGGAATCAGCTGCATAGAAAGACTAAATTACCTTTATTGAATAACAGAATATTTTAAGTCTAATTGTGTTCACCCTTTTCTCATTGCCCCTCCCTACTTCTTATACCCCAGTGATCCAGGGAGGTGTCTGCTTGAATCACTTTTTATCATGTTTCTCAAGGCTTAAAAATGTTTCACACTCATTTGCCTAGATAGCAGTTCTTGCCGATTTCTGTCAAGATCATCTTACTCTCTACACTTTCTTAAGTTATATCTAAAGAGAGACTCCCTTTTAAATTTCTTTAAAGAGGAATTAACATATAAATGAATAATTGTTTTCATTGTTTTTGTGAACCATGGCACTCTGGTTCATATCACTTTATTTCTCTTTGGAATTTTGAAACAAGCAATGACACCCATTGTTCCTTCACTTCCTACACAAAATGTCCAAAGATTAACATTTAAAAGCAAACTGTCTCTATTGCTAAGTTATGTTGTTGCATTTCAAAGACCTGTTTGTTTTCAGTTTAGGTTAAGGATTCTTTTCATAATAAAGGGATATCTAGAAAATAATTCCTTTGGACACATATCCAGTTTCCTTGGCAAGTTTTTGTTTTTGTTTTGCCATTGCTTCCTTGCAATGGCAAGAAAGCCAAAGTTTCAAGAGACTGACTTGCTCAAGACCTCCCAGTTGATCCTCTAGTGAAAGGAAAGGGAAATTTTCTCACTTTTATGTTAACATTGTTTCCTAATTAAGTCAAGAAAATGTTGCTTTAAAGGCTCAGGGGATACAGTGACATTATTTTCTATTATTTAAAGAAAATATAAAAAAACAATAATGCTTTATATCATACCTTGTATTTTGAACATGACATCAGCTAATACTGTTGTGTTAAAGAAAAGTCTGAGAGAGGTGTTACATAAATGTAGCGGTCTTTTTGACAAATAAGTTCTATAATTTTGTGAACCGTTAACCTGCAGAATGAAAAGATGGTTAAATACATACAGTTTTTTAACTTAAGCTTTAATTTTTTTTTACCACTGCTATTACCATATTTTTCGGAGTATAAGATGCACTCCGCCCCCTAAAAGATGGTGAAAATTTGGGTGCATCTTATACACAGAATGTAGCCCTGCACGCCCACCAGCCCCCCACCCTTTGGCCTCTGCCTCTCAGTAAATTACCTCCTTGCAGCAAACGGGGAAATGGGGCTTGTGGAGGCAGCAATAGGCTATGGCAATCCCTGCACCTGAAACAGCTGATCATCAGGAGGCCCGTGCTGAAATTGAAATTGAAACGGGCTGTTTGCTGCAAGGAGGTAAATTGCTGGGAGGCAGAGGCAGATTTTTTTTTCTTGTGCTAATCAGGCTAAATAGCAATAGCAATTAGACTTATATACCGCTTCATAGGGCTTTCAGCCCTCTCTAAGCGGTTTATAGAGTCAGCATATTGCCCCCAACAACAATCCGAGTCCTCATTTTACCCACCTCGGAAGGATGGAAGGCTGAGTCAACCCTGAGCC